CTCATATGGTCGAAAAATGAAAATTTCGGAAACGCGAAAATATCGTTATCCGACATGAAACAAAGGGTAATAGAAGTGTTTGTGCCAATTTGCATCAAGCTGGGCTGCCTCTTCTACTATCCTGTGCCATATATGTGTACACCATATGCTATACTGCTATATAGAGCTGAAGGTCTCCTATGAGACTAGAGGTTCGCTGTGAACATTGTGGATGGCTTTGCTTTGCTTTGGTAAGCGTTAACAATCCATATACAAAATTGCTTAGCAGGGCGACCGATTTCAATGATATAGGTGGTTGTTTTGCAACATTTCCGAGGGCCACTGTCGTTGGGGTGCTGTATTACATATCACCATTACTAATAATAATGAGTTTGACAGTCATGTAAGCGGATTGGGTCGAAATGGCCTCTGTTCATTCGGTACATATTGATTGACGCGAAATATATATACCATTGTGTGTATATGAAATGGTGTGAACGGGCCACCAGGATATCAGGTACCTGTGTGGTTGCACCACAGGATTGAGCCGAACTGTTCATGTAGTAATGGTAAAACGTGTCCATTCTCTTTGGTTCTCCTGAAAACCAATGTAAAATTGCCCTTGACAATAGAGGGTAAATTTATATAATTGTGAATTGAATCAGCTATTTTATTGATAATGAAATATCCAGTCTGTTCTTGGTAAATTATGTAAAATAATATTATTTTGCATGTGTTAAAAACAAAAAATAAACGGATATATTGGCGAAAACTTAATTGGACAATGAACATACACTCATCCTTTTTTTCATGCATGTCATTGAGAAAAAGAAGAGAGTTTGGATTTATTTCCATAATACAGAATGTGATGTTACACATTTTTGAAACCATGAATCGATAAATGTTAGACCACAATTACAAACCTGGAAGCACTGGATGGGCGTTTCGTCCTGGTATGGGACTCTTCAGCACTGCGCATCCACAACTACTGCACCCCGCAGGATTCGAACCCAGGACCTTCGGTATTGTGCGCGAACGCCTAACCATCGGACCACTGAGCCGGTATCTAACGGGAGTCCCATACCAGGACGAAACGGTCGTCCAGTGCTTCCAGGTTTCTAATGGTGGTATAACATGGATCGATTCATGGTTTCAAGAATGTGATGTATCTGTTTCGTGATAATTGAAATAAAAACTAACCATATTAACAAAATTCTTCAAATATCGACTGAAATTGTTCAGTTATTTATAGATGCGTCTATTTGTTCAATAATATTTATTGAAATGAGCAGTCTAAATCGAAAAAAAGTATGAATAAGACCTACATTTTTTGTTTTAAGGCATTTGATATAAATAATCAAAGAATATGTACTACAATAGATTTCTTACTGGTCATATATCATAAAATATGAATTGAATAAAGGTTTAGTTTCTCATACTCGATGTGCTGATTGAAGATTAAAGGGGAAACAAAAACAATCGGAAGAATTTCTGAATAATAAAACTTGGAGCTATTACATAGACTGTAGAACACAACTGCACTCGAAAACTCATTCAAATAAATCCAGGTAGTTAAACTACTTTCTAACCGAAAGAGTAGAAATAGAATGGTTGGGTGTATGTATGATCGCGATATCGTACTTGTCAGAAAAGTATATCTGGAATATTGAGGTAATTGATATGCGCTCATAGAGATACAAATGCAAGTTATTTTGTGTGCTACGGGTAACATCAAATTGCTTTACGATGGTGAATTGCTTTGAATGACAAATGGCAGCTAACAACATAAAATCTAGATCAAGTAGGATTATTTGTCAACTGGCTCCAGTTATATTTATAACATCATTCATATAGTTTATAAAGCATTCAAATAGTCACATTGCGACTTGATCAACTAAATTTCAACACCATCATTGACCATATAAATATGACGGCTATTCAGTGTATGATTAGTACTTTTACAGTGTATATTTACTTACTAAATAAAAGACCTTAATAAACTATGTCATTTATCGATTAAATTTGAGTATAATATATGTACACATTTGAAATCATCAATCAATCATTGTTAGACCACCATTAGAAACCTGGAAGCACTGGATGGGCGTTTCGTCCTGGTATGGGACTCTTCAGCAGTGCGCATCCACAACTACTGCACCCAGCAGGATTCGAACCCAGGACCTTCGGTATTGTGCGCGAACTCCTAACCATTGGACCCCTGGGCCGGCATCCAGCGGTGTCAATGTCTAACTCTGATTGATCTAGGGATTTTGCGCGACCTTACCCATTTGTCTTTGGTAGTTACTGCCTACACCCGACAGGGTTGAACTCCATTGGTCAAGTCTTCTCAACTAGAACTCCGAGAATTTCCTCATGAAGCTAGTCACTAGTGAGCACTGTTACGATATTTTGGGGCAGAGTTTTTGGAGGTTTGTGTTTTTACACATTTGAAATCATCAATCAATCATTGTTAGACCACCATTAGATTGATGATTTCAAATGTGTAAAAACACAAACCTCCAAAAACTCTGCCCCAAAATATAATATATTTGTCCAGTCAGTCCTGCAGCAATGAATAGACGAAATAAAATACCATTACTTTGACCCATTCTACACTATACAATATTTTAAAATGTATAAATCAAAGTAATTTCGTGAATAAGAGGCTCAACGTGCAAGTGAGGCTCTAGAATTCAGCTTATGAAGTACTCCAGAGAAGTGAGACTTAACCATAGTACGTTTAATAACACTCAATTCGAATGAGTATATTTCAAATTAGTATTAAAAAAGACTGGCGGCAAGTAGAATTTTCACTTTTATCATGATGAACAAACTTTCGCAACTAAACTGATAAATTAGCATAAAACAGTAGAGTATATTGTAATGAGCATTAAGAAACAATACTACTATTAAATGAACATTGTTAATCGATATGCTGTAATGAATCACACTTTTGTCAACAGATTGATGAGGAGAATGATTTACGTCATAAGAGACACTACAAAATTTTGCACAAATTACATTTCTTTCATTTTTATGTTTATGACTGTTAAATTCCAGACAATAATTCTATTTAACTGAATTGGCTAAGTTTAATGTGAAGAAAATTCTCATTAAGCATTATTATCTACCGTAAGGGAATCACGGCAAACCAATAAACATTGGTTATTGTTCTAGTTTGAAAATACACAATGACACACAATCGCAACCTTGCTTAAAGTCCAACCCAAAGACTTCCGAACTATTAGCGTCTACTATGGTGTGACTTCGAACCCAACTGTTATCAAGCGACTTTGTAATGCAGTAACTGGAACTGATACACGAATATACCAGGTTCGACATTGCTTACGATTAACTGACCTGCAGACCTCATTCAAAGCATTTGACATTTCTATGAAGCAAAGCTAAAAACCGAATTATTTACTTTTATAGATTTATTTAATCCATGAATAAATAAAGATAACACATTTTTGAAATCATCAATCAATCATTGTTAGACCACCATTAGAAACCTGGAAGCACTGAAAGACGGCCGTTTCGTCCTGGTGTGGGACTCATCAGCAGTGCGCATCCACGACTCCTGCACCCAGCAGGATTCGAACCCAGGACCTTCGGTATTGTGCGCGAACGCCTAACCTCAAGAATGTGTAACTTAACAATCTTCACAACCCCATAATGCAAATAAAGATTATACAATTTATTACATATGTGTATAACTTGCTGAATGTTTTTAAATTATCCGGTAAAAAAAGGAATTAAACATAACATTCTAATCGACTAACACACTTTATCGATTATGCTAAGAAATCAGTGATACATTTTGTTGTTTATATGCTTGTATGAAAATGTGTAAGTTGTTTAAGCAGAAAATAGAATTTTGTCTAATCTGAAACAAACGGTTATTTTTCATATGTTGTTAAATAACTTTGTTACACACACACGTTTTTATAAAAATCAATTTTTTGTTTTGTTTAGATGGATAAATAGATCATGTGATGTTGATAGAGTGCATTTTAAATATGAAACATGAGTGTAGACACATTTTTTTTTGACAGAACAAGTAAAGTAAGCTAGTAAGGATTATAATGTTGAATATCGAGTTTTAGATAAAAAAATTTTATAGACAGTTTTAAATCAATATTGAAATTAAATCCTTCAATTTGCTGAAGGGTTTAATAAGAAGTATTGTGATTATTTATTTAGTAAATCTGTAGACACTATGTTAAATATCAAGAATAATCGTGTTGTTGTTTTAAAAAAGTAGGAAATGCTGATTTGATTGCATGTTGCCGGAAAAAGCTTAGGTTTGGTTTGTTTGTTTTTTACACTGAACGTCAGTTGTTTCTTCAAAGGAATAACTTCGATGACATTTTTTTTTTTTAATTCGTATTTCCATCATGACATTCGATGTGACATGATTGGTTGTTAACTTTGGTCCCAAGGTTGCTATATTTGTAAATATGGACTGCTATTCGAGTTCAAGACTTAACACATGCTTAATAACCATTTCAGGTATAAAACGAAGGAAACAAACACTGAATGTGTTTGCACTAATTCGGCTAGTTTAGAAAAGCTACAACAAGTTATATCTTCAATAAATGATGCATTTTTTACGTTTTAATTAGACTACAAGAAGCTTTATGACTTGATTATAAGGTATTGATCAGACAATTGAGTGGATTTTATCAACTTACAATTGTTCTAGATATACTTAAACATTTATTTTGGCTGAGAACATATCAAGACAACTGTTTTGTAGTGTTAAATGAAAGAAAATTTCACAAATATTGTGGGAATAAGTATCTTAAAGGGAAACAAAAGGCAACCATGTGTCAATAATACAATGTGGGTTTTTGTTCTCTACACGACTACAGTGTACAGAGGTCATACTAGAAACTAACGGTTGCATATCCATGATTAAATTTTCAACTGATTTGATGATCCTATGTCTGCATCAGTTTCATAATGCATAACATTGACGCGCAATCGTTGTTGTTTCTATCAGAAAACAACACAGCCAATTTTATACGATAATGATATATATTTTCATTTTTCGAACATAAACATATACACACCACATAGTAATAATATCAAACTGGTCAGTTTTATTGTAACAATCAAAGTCATTGAAACGAAAAAAACAAACGGATAGTGTTATTTTGCATATCATTGAAAAAAAGAATCTAGTCATAAAATATCATGAATAAAAATAGAAATAAAATAAAAATTTTTGACAAAAAGTGCTTGGAAGACAAGAACACGCCATGAAGACCAAAGAAATGTGTGTTCATTAAAACACAATGGCACTTACATACTTAATCGATAAGGCACAAGAAAATTTTCATAGAACAGTGAGATGTAATTGATTTGAGAAAAATAAAGTGATGTAGTTGCGTTTTACACATTTTGAACAATCTCTGGTCACACACACACACACAGAGATAAATACTAGTCAAGGCGGACTGATTGAGGGAATGGAGCAAATAGAAGAAAATTTCGTTGATGAAAATACTAGAAAAAAAAACAGAATTGTCCCCTTGTTTGAATTCCAGCTGGAACGAAACAACTGCATTAAAAGTTAATAAACAGTCACCTATTATTTATTGTTCAATCTACTTATGAGTATGTACTTATACAAATAAAGAGAGAGAGAGAGGCAATAAAAACATATACAGAACATTCATACAAAATAATAATAATAATAATAATGATAACAATAACACGAAAGAGTGAAAGATGAGGTATCAAGTGAAAATAACAAACTTTATCATTAGGGAAATACAATTAAAATCGATTGCATTTGAAAAAAAACGCATTTTATGGTAGAGGATGAATGACACGGACATGGTTTGTTGGGAAATGACCTTCTTTTCCATTTAGTTCACCCAAAAACCAGTTGTTATCAACCTGTTTGTGGAAAAAAGAAATGAACATATTTAAATGAAGAACAATCGATGAGAAAGAGAGAGCTATAGTAAAGTATAGGGTGATAATATTACATCTTATGTATAGCAATACTTTTCATGTGATCTTACAAAACTCAATAAAGTAATAAATTAAAATAAATTGAAATATACGAGTATCGGTCAATGTGTGTGTGTATTATTTCTAAGCGATGTTGGCTTTTTGCTTTGTACTACACTATGAATTTATCAATATAACGTATTAGGTAAGGATAGCAGATCACTGATAAGTGGACTGAGTCATGTTGGTAGATGCACGCTACCTGGTCGGGGTCCTCGAGACGAAAGTCACCGATGGTTAGAGACCTTGAACGATATGGCTCAAAACCGTTTGCAATGGCGCAGGTGCATCCATTCTTTGTGTCCTCTTAAATTCTAATCTTCAGAATTTCACATCATCTCCATCATTCTCATTCTAAAGTTATCTCACTAATCATACTTCTTGAATCCTATCTTCGAACCCTAATCTGATCCATTACCGGTAATACTTTACTGTCTGTACCATTATGAGATTTGAACAATTGCGTCTCTGTGCTAATACGGTATGGCAACCTGAACTAATGTACGTGCGTACGAAGTTCTACTGACTGACTGACTGACTTAATTCCTATATCACAGATATTTTGTTAAAATCATTTTCTGTTCTTTTCATTACGATAGATTGAATGAATCTCTTCAACTACTGGTTATAGTTATTTTTGAGTTTAATTATCTTGTGTACATTAACCGCTGTGATTTGGTCTACCTCATTGACATAAACACAGATAATGTTTATCGACTTTTTTATTGATAGATGTATAATGTTATGATTTCAGATAAAATTTGCATTTTTGACAATGAGGTTTACATAAATAAATTACTCGCTGGATTATATTGCGAGCATGAGATTTATAATCAACTTTTCTGATCTAACTGAAAAAAAAATCAAACAAGCTTTGGAGCCCAGAGAAAAACTTCTTAAGATAGTAAAGACAAACACCTACTTCAAATCAGAGTTCACATGGAATCAACTGGTAAAATTTACCAATCACTATTTCAATATTCATATTAACGTATAGTAAACGTTATACAATACTGTTGAACCAATTTTGACAACCTCAGTTCAGTATACACATGGGATGTCAGGAAAACGACACAGACTCAAGAAACCACATAGGTTGAACCAGCCATTTTTTTAATAAATGTACAGGGGGTTGTATATTCCAAAACTACTATGCAGATAAATCAATCCAATTCGGTAACAGAACACAAGTTCTTAGATTATTTTCTTAAGAAATCAGGCTTCAAGGTTGCCTACACAACTTCTTACACTTAAAAAAATAAATAGTTATAATTATCTGAAATCAACGATCAGACGTTGAGTACTTAAACCATCAAATCCTACTCTTCAGAGTAATAATAACATCAGCAGCAGGAAATCAATACTAAGCAATAATTATGCAATACACAAACACTGTAATATTACACAAAAGAAAGAAGTAAGAGAAAAATAATGCATAAGAAGAAATTATTTTTTAAGAAAAAATAAATCTTACCTGTTCAATTAATTTGAGCTCATCACCCACATTAAAAGATAATTCAAAAGGACTTTCAGCTTTAAAATTATATAAAGCAATACATGAAGGTATTTTGTTTGATAGATCTACACACATTAAGAAAAGATAGAAAAAGTAAATACAAAATTCACTTGATCAACTGATGAAATGAATCATTCAACTATTCTTGAAGAAAACTAATGTTTGTTTTAAAAAGCAAGAACAACATTTTCAAAGTTGTTCATATTCATATTCAAGAAAGAAACTTAGTTCATTAGTGGTACGTGGAATAAATCGTGATAATTATATACTATTGGCGAATGTACAATTGAAGTCCGAGTAGTTCAGTGTTAACAGTGTTAACGGGTGCTAGGTAAGGATGGCAGGTCAACAGATGAAATAATGAAACTTCATCAGTTGAGGTGGTTGAGACATGTGTTACCTATGCCAAACAACCGGAACAGGTTGGAAGAAAGTTAGGGGCGGCCAAATGAAAACATGGCACAAATTCATGAAGTCACTGACAAGTGGACTGAGTCATGTTGGTAGATGTAGACAACCTGATTGGGGTCCGCGGGATGATAGTAATCGATGGTTAGAGACCCTGAACAATATGGCTCAAAACCGTTTGCAATTGCGCAGGTGCATTTACTCTTTGTGTTCTATGGAATTCTAACCTTCTGAATTCCACATCACCTCTATCTTTTTCTTTTAAGTCTATTCCACTAGATTCTACTTGTTGAACCCTAATCTTCCGATTACTGCTAATACTTTTATTACCTCTACTACTATAGGATTTGAAGTGACAATTACATCTCTGTGCTAATATGATATGAAAACTTGAACTGCTGTACGTACGCACGTATGTAAGAAGTTCTACGTTGCTATTAATTGATTGATTGATTAAGTTACGTTTCACTATCTAATATGGAATATTATGCAAAAAAAAAACAAATATGATCACCGAATGAAAACATACTATCAGATTTTGGTCTCATTTGAGAATCGGTAGATTCATGATCGAACTGAGGTAGATCTGGTAAAGCTTTATTTGAACTAATAGGATATGGAGTATGCTGTCTTGCATGATCGTGTCTAAAACAAACACAAGGGAAGTGAAATAGCAAACAAAAGTCAACAACAACATATCTGTAAAACACTAATGACATGTTAAGCAGAGCTAAGCATTGAAAAATTCCCAATACTTGTAATATATATATATAATAAATTATCAGTTTGATGCGAGAATTTTTATTCCACAGAAGGACACTCTTATTAATAAGTCTATATATAAATATATTTTGTATAAAGAATACTACTGAAAAAGATGAGTAGCTGAAAATACGAATAGGCTCTAAACAACAATAATATACATAGGTCAGTAGTTCATGCATAGTCATTTCACCATAGATGATAAAGTGCACACTGACATTCGAAAACTAATTCAGTTTAAAACAATTTGGAAATTGAAAGCGATTGTGATAATTCGATGAATTAGTTTGATACACAATAAAATTAGTAGCTCAAGTAGATGATTATGATGGAGTTCCGTTCTTTGAGCTGGATGTTTTGGTTGTAGAGCTGTCAATGTTCACTGAACAACATCATCAGTACGAATTTCTACCTGTAGAGTTCAGTCATGTTGGACGTGAAACAATTACTCGTCAATGACATTGAAAGATATCTTAGACTGATTGGAATTAGACTTGCCGACTATTAGATCTCAGTTCACAGTAACGTGCTTACCACAAGACCTGAAGGCTTTAGGGTTTGATTCTTGCTGAGGTCATGGATGCGCACTTCCGAGGATCCCTGCACTAAAACAAAATAGCTTCCTAGTGCTTTCCGGCTTCGAATAGTTGCCTAAGTTCAGCCAATGATGTAAATTATGGAACTGAACAAGTTCCACAAAACAATATTACTTTGATGATCGAAATGTAATGAAAATTGATTCAGTCAAAGTTTAAACATTCCAGGAATAGTACACTCAGCTCCCAATTATTAAATAAGGCTAGTGAACAAACTGCATGAAAATAGTTTTCCATATTCATCTTATTGCACACATCGGTTCTGAGTTGAATATTGAAAAAATCCATTATTTTAGAAATCAATACTTGAAGACAGGAAAATAACTACAGAGCAATAATGAATACAAATATTATAGAGTTGTTATAATAAAAAGAACAGCCAAACAAAAAATCAAAAAAATTTACAATTATGAGGTGCATAAAATATTGAATAATGTAAATTTATGCATCTCCACTTCATAAAAATCGATTTGTTGACATATTTTCAGATGTAAATTGAAGAGCGAAATATCCACACTTGAAATGTTATACACAAAACATTACCATTCAGAGAAGATTTATGAAAAAGCTGATCGAAAAAAAGCAATTAAGAATTTTGAAACACCACTGAATGAAATCACATCGAATTACATAACTCTTTATATATTTATTAGCACTTGCTCTGAAGAGTTATTTAGTCTAAAGCAAGAAGAATAAGTGAAGGTATTAAAGATGGTAAAAAAGGATTATTTGTTCAAGTCGATACAAAGGTGATTCTAAAAACATGATGGAAAAAAAACGTTTGACAAACCGAGTTCATTCAAATTTCCATATTAAGCGTTAAATCGACCTGAAGCATTCGAATAGACTATGTACAAGGTTAATAGCATTCAAGTGAAACATAGAACCTGGATTATGTAAGTCAGTTCAATTTGTCATACCACATCAGCATAGCGAGATAAGGTTATCAGGATAAATCCCAGAGTGACAGAATCAGTCAGAAATAATATTAGTAGTACAAAAGATCAGGTATCGAAAAAGTAGAGAAAAAACTTGGGTTTTAAGAGAAAACGAAGAGTGAGTGGACGTCTGCCACTGCGAACTATTCTAAGATATGTCACCCAAAGACTAGTTACTGGTCAGGATAATCAAATGAAATCTAACCATTTGGCCTACACCGGTTAGACTATGGTTTAGCCCATTTTTCAATGACTTCAAGAAAGGCCAATGTACTTCTTTTTTAAGTGATCTTCAATAGCGCATATTTCCATAATCCTGTTGATTTATGCTTCAAGGTCAAGAAATACAACTATGATTGGGAGGCAGTAGGTGTGTCTATGTCCTAGAACCAAATGAAGTGTGAACACTCGGTCAACACATCCACATTTATATCTGGAACTAGCCCGGTTTTCCTGGATTTGTCCTTCACGATTATCGAGGCGAAAATTTTCAGCACAAAAGGATTTTCGCCCTTTCTTATACACTGGAAAGATTTCAGCTAATGAGTTTCAATCAATTTAACAGCCAAGACTAGGTCACAATACTTAAAGCCCTCGAGAGTAAGTCATTCAGAGTCTGATGGTTTTCATCGCTTTAGATTACTTAAGCATTGTTCAACTTGGTTGATCGGTGTATTATCATTTCACTGTATGCTATCCCACTAATGAACCAATCAGCCTATTGTTACGACAAAAAAACAACTAGACAAAATAAAATCACCTATAAAATAGGCAGAAACAAAATGATATCAGAATACAAATCTTAATACATTTCATACACGTGACAAAGAAGGACATAAACTGGTCGTCAATCAATTTTACAAAGTGCAATGTAAACAAATCATCCATGTAACCATGTAAAAATGATGGAATTTTCTTATGACTTAATGTGACCTGACACATAAAAGAGATGCAAACTATATGTGACGGACGACTAGAATACGAAAACAGAAAAGTAAATGTTAAATAATAAAATCTCAATTAACTACTAATAAAGACAACATGCTTTTTACAAAGCATTAACCTAGTGTGTTAGTTAATACTACTACGAGAGTGAACTGAGAAAAAAAAGAATAAATATATAAATACCTAAAATGGATAAATAATGTACGTTCTAATGATGAATGAAATAACCTTAACATGTCACATGTGCATACACGTCCGTATAAACAAACAGACGGAAGGTTATGGAATATTGAAACGGAAATGTGTTAACAAACACATTAAATCATAGTAAGATAATATCCATTCACTATCTATATAAATTTTGAACCAATGCAATTCGGCATGAAACAATTTCATCACTTAATATTTACATTCACCGTTACTGATCATTCTGTTCTTAAATGTGAGAAGCTATTTTGTTCAAAGCCTAATTAAGCTAATGATGTTCAACAACTCTTTCTGTTCCATTATTCTTGTCTCCGAAGAATTTCTGGCAATTTATGGTAACACCATGTTAGTAATGCTGATATATGGCTAAAATTTTTGTGAACAATGATGACAATTCAATGGTCACCATTATCTTGAATCATCGGCTACAGAGGCTTGGGTTTATGTTTAGGATATTATCCGAATGTCCTTAACATTGCGTAGTATTTTTCGACAATGGGGCTAAGTGGGCGATATGCTTGAACTATTACGAGTTCACCTTACTCGGTAAACTGAACACGATAGGCTACTCTAAAGCGGGGAAAGCGGAATGGGGATGGAATTATGTGATGGTACGGTAATGTTGCAGAAAACTGAACAGGAAAAGCATCTGTCAATCTGTCATCCTTTCCTGGTTGAGGTTCCTAAAGATGATGCGACTCGATGACTTCATATATTATCAGATATGAATTGGAATAGCAATCAGTGGCGATTTTGCTGTAGTTTTCATTTACAGTCTTCAACAAAATCAGATGAGCTTTTGTACCTGGAAAAAAAGTTTTTTAGACCAAAATGTACACACCATTCTTGGTCACTTATTCCTTTATTTGACTTCATTATTCTTATACTCTTCGAAACGTTATCTCACCACTATTTTGGTGTCCTGTTATACTACATTTTATGTGAATCGAATACATAAATACATTTAAAATTGAAATCATAAAAACTGAGTTAAATTAAATTCAAGTAAATATATTCAATCTGAAATTAAGATTATCCTCCGAAAAATTAATGAGGCTGCCAAAATCAAAGCACATGAAGTAAAGAGAAAACATACAATCTCATGGTTTGAAGTCCAATGATCAACCACCAATTAGTTATTCTGACATTATCTGCTTGAGAGTTTACATTATCGATCGATGAGAGAGAACTTAAATTAATGAATCCATTTAATTAAAAACAATGTAATTTTGACGTTAAAAAAAAAAGATTTACTACCATAAAAATTTGAAACTAGAGACTAATTTAGTGCAATATATTTGATTAATCAGTTTGATTGCAATAACTGACTTATTAAAAACGCCTTGATTGATTGAATATTTTTACAAAAATATTTATGTCTATTAAAGATATAAAATGAAAACAACGGTTTGAATTATTGCAAATGTAACAAAATTCATAGAACTTGGAAAACAATAAATTCATTTAAGTTGAAATAAATGGTGATCGTCAAACAAAGATAGATCATAATTAAACTTATGACTTTTATTTATTATTATTCACTAGGTTAATTTGTTGACGTTTGATGAAGTGAAATTAAACAATCAGTCATACAAAACATGAAAGTGTAAATTACATGAAGAGATTGTTGGCTTTTTTAGTATGAGCTTAATCACATGTTAAATAGTGGCAAAAATCAACGTTCAATATCATCGTAGAGTAGCTTTATTACTTATAAGCTCTCTAGTAATCTTTTACTGGGTTATCATCAATAAACGATTATGTGGCGGTGGCTTATTGATTGAAATGCTCGCTTTCTAAGAATTAAGTCACAGGTCAGAACCGAGCTTGGGCGACAGGGTATTTGGCATTAGTCTCCATACTCAATATCGCTTAATTCATGGTGCATGAGTCGATAACAGGTAAATGAGCAGTCCACTGAACGAGAAAACATCACTTTTACAATCGAATCCTTAGAAATAACATCAAACAATACCTTATCATTACTATTTTGTTCTCAGGAACAACACACGCCTTTTAAATTAGGTAAATAGCTCAGAAAATGCAGTACTATTCATACAAAGGAAGCATCAATACACATAGACGCACCAACTACTAATTATAGCATTTTCTACGAGGTGTTCACCACTGGAACTTTGACTTGTAGAAAGCTTAAACGCTCAACATAAAAAAGACAAAATAATAACAAAAAATACAAGAGTGACAACGAAACTATATCAGAGTAAGATATGAAACTAAAAACAAATGAAAACAAGTGAAAATCCGAAACTCAATTGTTAATACTGCCCTAGCTTTGCCGATCCGTGTCTTCACATCTGCATCAGATCCAGCTTGTTTATCAATGGTGATGCCCACATACGTAAACGTTTCCACATCTTCCGAAGCTTCTCTGTCAAGTTTGATATAAATGGTGCATGATAAGGTGTGTCAGAGGACCTTATTTCTTCCCTCGTGTATGCTGAGGCCAACTGCTGTAGAGGTTCCTGCAATATTTGCGATTGTTGTGTGTCGGATAGAAAAACAAGGTCATGTGCGAAGTCCAAGTCGTCCGACTGCATCCGAGCTGTCTACCGGATCCTTTTGAGGTTTTCATAATCTAGTGAACCGTCAGTATAAAGAGAAAGGATGAGAGTAAGCAAAGTTGTCTGACACCAGTCTTCACTTACAACGAGTCTGTGAGCTATCCTCCATGCACGAATTTGCCGCTTAATCCATCGTAAGAATTCCGTATGACGTTAACTATCTTCTGAAGCACACCAGCGTCGAAGAAGCCTCCAAAGTGTCATCGTGTTCATGCTATCAAATGCGTTCTGATAATCAAAGAAGTTGATGTATAGTGGTAAGTTTCATTCAGTGGACTGTTAAAACAATTGTCCTTAGTATCACTCACGATTTGGTCGGTACAGAATCGTTCGTTAGGGAATCGAACCTGTTGATCTGGAAGTTCGGCGTCTATTGAATCTTTCATTCAGTTTAAAAACACTCTGGTGATAACTTTCTTACTGTTGATAGTATTGCGATTCCTCTATACTTCTCACACTTGCTAAAGTCGCCTTTCTTTGGTATGCTGATGAGATATCCTTCTTTCCAGTCTCTTGGTACTTATTATTTCTCCCAAATCTTGTTGAATATGGTGTGCAACGTCTTTGCAGTTACTATTATATCTACTTTCCGTGTCTCAACTGGAATGTTGTGTGATCCTTTTGATCATTGAAATGACATGAGTGTCAGTATAAAAACAAGTTCATTCTTTTAATATTATCAGAAATAGAATAATGTTTGTTGAAGCTTAATCAAATGATTAGAATGAAACATGATACATACGCCGATTCAGTCATATACGAACTATTAAGTAATTTAGATAGGACCCAGAAGAGACTATAATGATTTGGATCACACATCTTAGAACCACTTAGCCAAATCGATAAAGTATTTAAATTTAAACGCCTACAATAGGCAATACAGACAAACAATAGAACAAAAACAACGATAAGCTATAACAAGTACAATGATTTGTATGTTAACAACTAGAAATGAGCTTTTTTTTCATACAGATTGACATAAATACGAACACTTAAGTACAAATGTTCGTTCACATGTAATTGCATTAAACGCACTTATTATCATTAAGTAAACTAAACTTTTTCTCAAATTTAAAATGAATTAAATGAGATATGTTAACTTAAAACAATGAAAATGATGATGTGGTGAAAAATAAATCACATTGTGAATTGCGGAAGTTAAACTACTTTACCAGTTGTGTTTATTTTCTTACATCATAGACAAACAAAGTTATTTAAGTAACTCATGATTACACTGCATAGAATAAGTAAACGAATGAATCATACATTCAGACATACATGCACACAGAAGAAAGAAGGAGCAAGAGAGATTTAGTTAATTGTTGAAAAGAATTTTATTAAATAGCTACTAATTAATTAATTATATTAAGCACTAGTGAAATTTAATATTTTAAGAAATGCCTTAATGTTTATCATACATTAAAATAAGTTGTTCGTTGATCAATTACTGTGAGTGATAATTGAGCTTTAAAAATTTCCAACTAGCATAACACACGTATTATCGTTACCATCAAAGCTACTACTACTAATACTGCTAGTAAAGCAATACATTTTGGTGAGAACAAATAGAGTTGAATAAAAGTGAGGTCGCGCAAAATCCCTAGATCAATCAGAGTTACACATTAACACCGTTGGATGCCAGCCCACTGGTCCAATGGTTAGGCGTTCGCGCACAATACCAAAGGCCCCGGGTTCGAATCCCGCGGGGTGCAGGAGTCGTGGGTGCACACTGCCACTGATGAGTCCCATACCAGGACGAAACGGCCGTCTTTCAGTGCTTCTACGTTTCTAATGGTGGTCTAACAATGATTGATTGATGATTTCGAGTGTGTAAAAACACTAATCTCCATAATTTTAATTGAAAATAAAAGTAAAGAGCTATATATTTATGTATCGAGATTGTCATTTTGTTATTGTATCCAAAATAAATCGGAAGTAGTCAAACATAATAATAATAATAATAATATTAATAAGGCATTGCTTATTTCTAAAACAAATGTAACACACGGACTTACGCATCCAACAATCTGAAAAATAAAAGTACGGAAGAGTGAGAACGATCAAGTGACGCCTACAAAACTAATGACTTCAAATTATCGTTATCATATATTCGCAATCGCAGTAACCCGTTGAAAATTGTTGAAAAAATCTGTGTATCTCAATAGTTGTCTGAGTAGATTCATACTAATCGGGACACAATGAAAAAAGGCACACACTAACGAGAACGACTATCAAGGTCATCATTGAAAGAGAGTATAACATGCCAGGAATAGTGAAAGATGTTGAATTTACCGTCTATTCCTTTGCCTCAGGACCAATCAAAAACGTATTCAACTAAACGTTAAATGAAGAGTTTACTTTCGAAAAAATACTGTTATTTTTCGAATTTTGTAAGAAATTATCATTAATATTAAACGAAATCTTGTTTTTTCTTACTCTTATTATCACGAAAGTAAATAAACGTCAGAATACAGTTCATTAAATTTTGTTGGAGAGTACACAAACGAAAATGCTATCGGAAATATGTAGAATAAAGAATGCCAAGTGTGACTTTTTTTCAATTTTAAACGATAGGCATTTCTTAGTATTTTAAATTTATTCAATGTAAAATTCCCCAAACATTTTCCAAGCATTTTCGAAACACTTCTCTAAACAGAATATCTATCTTCCAGTTGTTCGAAAACAGACACATGACATAACATAATTGGTGTAGTAAAAATAAAAATTTGTTACCGAACTAGAAAAATAATGGTATTTCTTAAAAAAAGTACACTCTTCATCACACTTTCAGGAAAATACGTCTTTAATTGGTGATAAGGCAAAGGGACAGAGGGTAAATCAAGCATATTTCACACAATTAAAAGTGTCATACTCCTTTTCAATGATCACCTTTATTAATATGTACCCTATTAAATGGATACCATGTGAGTGCTGGTGTTGGGCGTGACAGGAGAGATTATTGTGAACAAAACGCATGCCAGAATAACTTATACTAATACCAGTGTAATTTTTGACTAATTTGGTCTCGTGTGCTGTTACGGGTATGAGGGCGGATGTTACTTCCCGGATGCCCACACTGTGGAAGGGTGTTTCTTGAGGAACCTGAAAATGAAGGTAGATTAGTCTCTGTCTTAGAGACATGGGAGCGTGACCGCAGAGTCCAAGGGACAACTGCTTGAGGCCGGTCACGCACGGCCTTTTGATGAACGGTTTTTTGAGTATTACCTCCGCTCTTTTAAAGCCCTTAGTAGGCAGCCCTTACCAACGGAGACAGAAATCCGTGAACTAAGGTCAGGTGTTACATATTTAGGATCGACCTTTTATAACCCCTTCGTTCCTTGTGAGAAGGCAGCATCGCTGCAGATGCTGGTTGTCCGAGGGAATCACCTTAATGCTGTCACATCCCGCTACAGTCAGAAGTACAACTTCGCCCTCAGACCATGAGTAGCTGTTTTTAGTCTCATCGTTCTCCGATCGACCTGCCTGGCATGGTAGGACCTACAGGAACATATGTTCCAGCCAATATAGCTCGGTTGGGTCATCACGATAGGCAAGTCCGACCACTACGTCAAGTTAGCAGCTACGGTCGATTACCGACGTACGTACGTACGATTACCGACTTAATAATTCACAGAATGTATATAATAAGAATAAAAAAGCTGGTGATTTTGTGAGCATAAATGACTAATGTTGCTACACTACTTTACACATATCAAACAAGCAATTATGTCTAAAGAAGATAGTGCTATATCAAAAAGAATACTGAAGGAGCGGTAACTTCCAGAACCAATTTATGGCAGACCATATAGTAGACCAATCAAAAATGGAGTTGGATTTCGAGCCACCAAAAACTTCAGTCGTTATATCAAGAAAAGTGTTTTCGGCAAACAAACTAACCTCATTTCAAGCTCTCCATGTAGATCGGATAAAATTCGAGCAGCATCCTGGTAGAAGCTTAATTGAGCATTAACAAAATTGGACAAAGTTTTGATTTGTTCAACCTTGATACGTTTTGACGAACATGTGCATAAACAAAACGTTCGCATGTTAAGTAGATAGTAAAAAAAAAGCAAGTATAAATCAAAATTTCGTTTAGTACAATAGATAAAAGCCTATCATTATATCAATTTGTTACAATGATAGAAGTAAATTTATTGATCATTAAATAAATTTAACAATATTTACTAGTTTCATCAAGTAATCGGTTAGAAATTGACATCTTAGATTATGAAATTACAATTCGTAAATGATAGTGATTGATAATTCCGATAGTCGCTGCTACCGTAACGTGATGTAATGGACTTCTCTATCATGACCACTCATTCAAGAAATATAGGTTGGGACGCTTGTTCCTCTAAATTCTACTACGCTAAGAAGATCGGTTGAAGAACGGTGACAGTAAAAGCAGAGACTAAAAGTCGGACAGTGAAGTCGTGCTGCTGACTGAACAGAGATGTGAAGGTATTACAGAGTTTTCTTGTGACAACTAGCATCTTCACTGATACTGCCTATCTGCAACCAAACAAGAGGGTTAGAAAGAGCACATCTCACCCGACCCCAAAGATCTCCATCGCTGACAGTAAAGTTTTTAAAGTATGCAGCTAACACACCAATAACTACTAGGAAAACGGTCGTGCATGATTAATCTCAAGCACTTGTCTCTTGGGTTTAGCAGTTACTCTTCTTTGAGGTAGTCAACATTACTACTACTACTACTACTGGCCAAGTCGCTTTTCCAGGTACCTGAAAAAGTCTCCTTCCTTATGTCATCATCCAATGAAACATTCAAACACATGTAGCCTGGAGATTAAATAAGTATTCACTAACCGTACAACAGAAACGAAATTTAACATTAATACCAATTTATTTATGAAATTAACTACGATTTTCTGAATAAGCATGTGATTATTACATCATTAAGTTGATCACGTTTTATAACTAACAGTTAAACAACTAAATTAATGACAATGAATGTTAATACAATCAGAGTAATTTATCAGTGAATCAATAATAGATAGATAGAATGCAATCATTATACTATAGTAATGAAAACATTTAAATAACATATTTACAGGATTTGAAATATTGTATTTTTTTTCTCTAGGTCTAATACATCACTAAGTTGAATGTATATAAGAAAAGGGGCTATGCAAATTAATTAATGTTTCAGTAAACTAATTTCATGGCAAAAATAGCATTCATTCAACATTACCATTCGATTTATGAACATGAAATTATTGACAAAATCATTGGAATTTTTTTAATGAAATAATTACTATTTTATTAGATGTGAATGCTTACTTAACTGTTGGCGGAAGACAAATCAATTTTACAATGTAATTAAGTTATTTCGCAATATAAATAAATACAGCTGAATATTCATTAGAAGTCAATTAACTTGTAATGAAATTCTAATGCTTATTGAAACAATGCTATCAGAGACTTAGTTCACCGAAATTTAACAATGTGACGTAAGAAGCACATTGTAGTAAATTTTGATGTAAGATTCAAATCAGATTTAATGTCACGAAAAATTAAAATATCATGCATCTACTTTACGTACAAATAAAAGTTGTCAATAGTCATTTTTGATTGTCATTTTGATTGTATTCCAAACTCTAACCATGAAATAATCTGTTAGTAATGAACTAAGAGAGGGTTTCATTGATATCCTGTTCTTTTGCCTATAGATTATATATATATATATATGTATATATATATATATATATATATGTATATATATATATATATATATATATCGATTATTCTCAATGTTGAAGACAGGAACTAGTTATATAGACTCCTACTAATCCTCTTGAACTATTTAATATCAATAAATCCCACCACAAAGTTGAGTCAATTACAGGAGTGGCCGCACTTTGAATATAATCGACCAGTGTAAAAGATTAAATATATCGGTTATTGGTCGACCTGTAACAAGACAATCTATCTATCTCTATCAGTGAAAAGATTAGCAGATACATAAAGGATTAACACACACACACACACACACACGTATTTCCATAAAAAATAAAAAACACAATGTAAGGTAATCACTTCAGTATCCAAAAAGTTTGACATAGCCCTTGTACTAGTTGATAACGATTCTTCATATTGAATTTTAGACTCTTCAAATGCTTGATCCGGTTGAGTATTGGCTATTATCATCAAAGTCGATGTGTAGATTATGAAAAGAGATGAAAGAGGGAGAAAAAAACAATAACACAATACAAATAATGAAATTTTAACAAACATGTTTGCATAGAATTTAAAAAGTCAAATGAATTTGCACATAAACCAATCGATAAAAGTTTATATATCAAGGTGAGTACTTTAGAGTAAATTTCTGTTTTTTTTAGAAAAAAATAAGTTGATTAATTTCATTACCCAGTTAACAGTGTTAATTATGATATGACAAATGATTAGTAAAATTTATATAAACAGATTAATATTCAAAACCTATGGACCACACACACACACACCCTTTATTATCCTCTCACAATAATTAAAATATAAATAGACAGTTATTCACTGTAACCATTAAAAATTGCTTAATACATTCTCCCTAATAAAGTTGAAGATGTTAAATAACCATTGAGTATAGATTACATGAACATACAGTAAAAAACAACCAATAATCTTTAAGATACTTTAAATAGTTCCTTAGAATTCACAATGTATGACACTGTTTTTTAAGAATTGTATCGATCTCTAAATTGCTATATTCAACAAGTAATAACAGTACTAACAGTAGTAAAAAAGAATAAATATAAAGGGAACAAACTCTCAGAATAGAAGTATAGACAGACAGACAGATACAACGCAGAACTTCGTACGTAAGTACATTAGTTCAGGTTGCTATACCACATCAGCACAGAGACGCAACTGTCAGTTCAAATCCAAGAGTGATAGCGATAGTAGAAGTATTAGCAGTAATGGAGAAGATTGGGGAGTATAAAATAACACAATTTAGAAAAAGATAAACAATGAATGCATTTGTAAAACTATTGTCATTTAAAAGTCTTGGACCACAACTTACGATTTTTGAGTGGGTTTGGATGTGTCTCCAGGCATACAGCTTAGATCAATGTTCTTTTAACATGGTGGACCTACATTGTATATAAGTGAGACTAATTCAAGCTTCTAAGCCAATCAGCATTCCGTGTTCAGACAAGTGGTAGTGCATACGTGATATATGTTCTGCCTAACCACTTCAGACCATGGAAATTAACTACCATAACGACCGATTTTAAACCTTTACTTAGTGTTCTACTTTAACCTCCGCATTACTCATTCGATTACTGCATCATACACGAGCAATGATACAGGGACATCTACAATCAAATATGAATAATGACATACGTATTTTCTATCCCCTCAAAATTATATTTTATCGTCACAAAGTAAAAGAGGGCCTTGTGTATTTATTCATTGATAAGAAGATAGATATTGCGTATACACCACAAATAGTACAAGCTCGAAAAACCCAATGGAAACTTTTTCAACTACGTTTATTATTCACTAAGCAAATGAGTTAGCCTAATGCATTTGAAGATTCGCATTAATGTCAAGAACAATAAATCAAGCAAATGTATGACAAGCAAAATTATTTTTCAAAAAAAAAGTGTGTGAATGAGTGAATAGAGAAAAAAAAGAATATAACAATCCAAAATCACCGTGATAAATAGTAAGACAGCAAAACGCTTACTTGTGAATGAATCTAAATTTATTTTTATAGACATATATTGTTATAAAGATTGATTGCACTGATAAGATTTTATAAAAAAAATGTATGTTTTTTTAGAAATACATGATTTGACATGTATATTTGTTTTAAATAGTTACGTTAAAGATCTACTCTAACTAACTATACTAACCCACTAATAATAATAATGAGTTATATTTAAACAATTTAACATTGAATAAGTACAGTGGTGATACATGTTTATGGTGAGTTTATTTCAGGTGAAAATTACAATTTCAAATGATACAAACACCAAAGCAGAGAACTACTATGATATCAAGCCAATTAATGTTTCAAATATGTGATATTGACATGTCAATCATTTTAAAAGCCTAGATCGAATTTCAATTCACTCTGAAATTCGGAGTAATTTAAAAATTAAAATTAGTAAATGTAAAATATGACTAATTCATCTATCGTGTTAGTCCCAGTGAAGGCAAGCAATGGAAAGACTAATAAAGTACTGAATTCAATGTCAGTCAGTTAGTTACAACGTAGAACCTTGTACGTACGTACATCATTTCAGGTTGCCATACCGCATTAGCCCAGAGATGCAATTGTCAGTTCAAATCCCGTAGTAGTGGAGATAGTAGGAGAATTACTGCTAATGGAGAAGATTAGGGATCGAAGACATTATTCCAGAACTATAGTTCTGTGAGATAACTTCAGGAAGAAAATGGAGATGATAAAGAATTCAGGTTATAATTTGAGAGAACACAGAGAGTGAATGCACCTGCGCAATTACAAGCGATTCTGAGCCATGTCGTTCAAGGTCTCTAACCAACGATTAATATTATCTCGCGGACCCCGACCAGGTAGCCTGCATCTACCAACATGAATCAGTCTACTTGTCAGTGACTTCATGGATTTGTGTCATGATTTGGTCTGGCCGCCTCTAACTTTCTTCCAACCTACTCTAATTCAATGTTTACTATTCTGATATCCCAATCAAGTTATGAAGAAAATATAAAAATGATGATCGTAAACACCGAACATAAGACTTAAAGAGGTATGAAGTTCAATCTAATGACGATTAAAATACCGTTATTTAAAGCATATTTTTAAGCTATATGTCAATACTATAAAGCCTACATTTCTAACGTCTCATTCTTGCAAAATAACGAAATGAATACCAATATGTTTGCGGATGAGATCATTATAGACTTAACAATTAATGCTATCTAATTAATACCAGTTGTTACTGAAATTTCTAGTAACCAACACTGATTAGGTAACTAGCAATATCAACGCAATAGTGAACGTAAGAGTTGGCTCATTGAGTCAACACAACATAAATGGACTTAAACCAGCTTGTGCTAAGTCCTTTGATGACTTGACCGAGTAAACAAAACAAAAAATTTATTCCCCGCTCGAACCGACGACATTGTAAGAAAAAATATATAAGCATTTATGCATTTCTCCATGTGTTTTAAAGAATCACGCCGTTCGAAAATCCAAAATTACGATTATTATAAATCCTATTTGACTGATTCTGATCAGATTTTTGGGGGGAAAATAATTTATTTTCCAACGAACGTATACAGCTGTCTTTCAAAGAGGCAAAAAGTGACAGCTACACTAAGTATCAGAAAGCCTTTTGGAAAGGCGCATTAACCTTGATTGTCATGCTTTACATCAAAACAGTTATAGGAAAGTAACAAGAAGTAAAATACACTCTGATACAACTTATCCAAATTTTAAACGGAAGATAAACAGTAACAAAATTCAAAGCTAATTTATTTCAATAAATAAACCAGTAGAAATAGAATTAGGATCGATAATGAGCTAACTGCAATAAAAAACGAACTGATTTGCAACTTTTATGTGATCACTCAAGGAACTGTTTATGAGCCTTATTTGCATAGTTGAAGAGCGAATCGAATTAATCAACTCGTGAGGGTCGAACCCAGGATTCTCCGCCTCGCGCTCAAACATTTTAAATTTCAATGAAACTCAACAATTTCCACAAACCTATGACGAAAATCATATGGATTGGGCTTTTAATTCCTTATATATAATTCAACTACACAGAGAGAGAGAGAGAGAGCTTAAAATAATCCATATTGACGTGTGAAATACTGAGATGGTGGAGATTGTGGTGGTATTTCGTTCTCTGAGCTGGTTGTTTTGGTTGTGGAGCCTTCATTGTTCTTCTGAACAGCATGATCAGCACAAACTCCAGATAGAAGTGAAGTATTCGTTTGACCTGTAGCTTGTTCTGCTAAGCCCGGTTTTGATTGGTTGCTGTTGACCTTAAACCTGTCGTTCTTTGCACCTTTCTTTTGATTGTATCCCACTTTTGATCTGTTTCTTGATCCTATGTCACCTATGATTTTTCTGATTGGTTGATAATTCGGGTCAATGTCGATGTGTTTGTTGATTGCTGATTGACCTGAATGCCAAGCTTGTAAAAATTCCCTAGTATTCTTTGTCCTCTCCTTATCTAGTATTACAACACTGTTCCGATCGAATGTATGTCTATAATTGTTGGTGTGTATTGATAAAAGCGAAGAATTGTCGTGGCGTTTGACTGCTAAGTGATGTTCACGTAAACAAAGCTGGAGAGGTCGTTCACTTTGTCCTGTGTAGTGTTTTTCACAGTCTGAGTAATTTATTTTGTAGATAGTATTTGATTTTTCTTCATTTGTTGTCATTTTGTCGTTTGGTCTACATAGGATTGATTGAAATGATTCTGTTGGTTTGTATGCCACACGTTTCAGTAGTCGTGCTGTATGTGAAATACTGTCATAATATGAGGATCACCGAAAAAAAAAACATTGAAAAAAAACAACATATATTTAATTCTTTCTTTCTTTCCTCGTTTTTTTTTTAACTAACTTTTTTCCAGTACACTTTTTCGATGAGCATATGTTAATCGTTTATTTTCAACTTTTCTTCGAAGTATCTATTAGAAAAAAAAACAACAACATATAAAAAAATGATTCATATGATGTTGATGTAAAATAACACATTTTTAACTTTCAATCAAATTTACATACACTTAAAATGATGTAAAAAAACCAAAAAAAAATTCAATTCAATAAAGATTTCATTTGGATTAAATCAAGAGAAAAATGAGATAAACAATTTAGTGGAATTTTGAAGAGAAGAGAAAGAAAAAAAACATACTGCCAAAACGATACTTCTATTATTAACTTTCTAGGAATGTTGAGTTTGTTTCTTTTTTTTTCTAATAGATGCAAAGTCAAGTTGTTCAATGTGTCATTAATAGTAATAATAATAAATTGAAAAGGCTAAAATGAAGTTTATCACAATGATTAAACTATTAATGATACCTATACAATTTAAAGAATAACCAAATACAGAATTTTATGTTGTTGCCTATTCGACCTAACTGTATAAATATGCACTGTCTGTAACATTTTATAATCTGAATCCTGAATCCGGGATTCTTATCCTCTTCTGCAGTCGGACCGCGAATTTTCTGTGTGATTGTAGAATACATGTTTTACTTCACATCAAGTCTTCTTCCTCTATTTAACGAGGGTTTGAGGCGCTCGGATTAGAGTAGCTTGTCGTGTCGCCAGATCATAGATCCTCGCTCTCGTTTACCGACTAGGGTGAACTCGTAATAGTTCAAGCACATCAATTGACGTGGTGACGTGCTTTGTAACATAAAGTTAAGCGACATTCGAACATAAAATCCAAAGATGTTCTTAGACAATACACAGAAGTTAACAAATATCAATATTGTATGCAGTACGGCTTGAAAATGGATGATGTTTACGAATAGTTAGCTAACATTTTGGAAAAAAAATGATTTTACTGAAAGAAAAACATTGAACAAAAAATATGTGTGAAATTTTAGTGAATCTGAATTAACTTTTAGTGAAATTGAGTTCTCTGAGTTAGGGTTGATAGAAAGGCTTTCGTTGTCTTACTCACTAGACAACATCATCAGTATTAGCTTCTGATTGAAATCATTCATCTGAGCAATAAATCTTTTACATCACATCTCAATAGTTGAAGCAAGTAAGTCAATAATATGTATGAAAAATAGATATTCTGCTTTTCCGAGTGCAGCAAGCAATTGATAGCGAAACACTTCGTGATGAAACTTGATTAACACTAAGAACTGGAAAAAAATACGACATTCGTTACTACCTAACTAGTGATCAATCAATGTAAATGTATCAGTCAAATGCTCAATAAACAATTTATGGGTAGTGCCTCTGATCCTATTTTTTCTGACTTTGTAACTTGTTTCTACTCTAAGCGAATAGTTCCAAGCATTTCTAAATGCTCTCTTACTAATCTAAATAGATAATGTATTAAAACAAAAGGTCAGACAGCTATTTAAAATCTCTGGTATAACAAAAAATAACTACTATAGCGCATGAACAGTGAAAACAAGTAAAGTTGACATTGCTTACATTTTAATAGTCGCAAGATTGAATATGTCATTTGTTCAATAAACAAAAGCAAATATAAATAAGAGTTAAAAACTTACAGATATTTCTCGAATATCTTGGTTTAATTTCTCAGAAATTGGTTTTAAGAAGCCAGATTTTGTTTCATCTACTGATTGATGTTTTGATTCAACAATTCTATTGTATGCTTCTCCACATTGTATAAGCGCCAGACCTTAGTAGAATAATTAAAGAAGAACCGATCAAAATATGCAGAAATCTATGTGAAATAATAGTATACACTCTATTAGCAACCAATGAAAAACATATTCTACAAACAGATTTGCATAAAATCAATCGAAAAAAGCAACACAACATAGTTATTTGTGCATATTACTGTACAATACCATGAGCCATGACTTTTACATAGCAACAAACAACACTTGACATTTGTTGAAACTTACTTAGACAGTTTTAGCTTTACCTTAAAACCAACTGGTTGACGGTCAACTGATCAGACTACAGTTGATAGTCAGCTTTGTCAATTGTTTATTCATAATGAAATAGATACAGATGCGATTTAAACCAGAGAGCTAAAAGACGAAACAATCCAGTCTACCTCTTGACTGAGGCAGAGGTTCGGGCATAGGGTTAGTGAATACACTTAATGTATGAAAGCCATTTCATGTCATAGAAAGTATAACTAAAGTAGTCTACGAGGTTTTAAAGTAGCAATTAACAACTGCTTTATAAGTGACTAAACTATTATACAAGTATAGATACCTGTCAATGACAACCAGTTGTTCATGAGTCACTATGTGGAAACTAAATATCCAAAACATTTAGAGTGGAGAGAATTTGTACTTAACTGCCTGAATTTGCTCATTATCAAGTGAATGATACAGTGTTAAAGTTGCATAAAATGTGATATAATGAAGGATGACGTGCATACAAGCAGAAACAATAATTTCGAAACATCAAAACTTACTCAAATCTTGTTGTTGACTTAATTGTCTTCCATATTCTAGAAAGCAATCGGAAAGAAACTTTTCTGCATGAGGATAACTATCATTATTTGGATTTCCCTGAATTCTATTTACAGCAGCACTAGCCCATGCTCGTTTACGCGCATTAGGATTAGGTTCTAAACAGTCAAGAACTCGCCTCTGTATATTTTCATAAAAAGCTTTGTATGAGTCTATGAGCTGGATTTGAGATTAGAAAAAAGAGAATCAAGTATAGAATGGAACGCATATATAGAATAAGAAGTATATTTAGTCACAAACTGAATCTATGTAAGTAAATGACGAAGGCTACAACCTAAATCGACAATAATGTAATGACGAAGATAGTCTATATTTAAAGTAAACGAGAACTGGAAGCAAAAATATAACTGTTTACAAGGTTTTAGTTATCTATGTATGAATCCTATTGCTAGGAAGTTACGTCTTGCATTAATTTGATACTGTACATGAATAAAGTACTAGTTTAATGTAATAATAGTGATAAGACGATATATGTACAATACAACGAATGTTTAAATAAAGCTTAGTAGTTAGGCTTTTCTAAAAGACGATCGGCTAAACTGGGCGATCTGATTGGATGGTATGCGATATAGCTATTGCATTTAAATATTTATCACCGTCCACAAAAGTTAACCCAGAGGTTGACTATGAATTCGAAAAGTTGTGCTTTCGATACGAGTCAACAAACGCGATTGAAACTAAACACATGGATGCCATCTTACTTAGTCTACATAATACCGAGTAAGTGTTAAAATAAGCTTTCATAAACTTGTTTGATGTAACATAGATAAACAGTATTTTATGAAGTATCACTGAGCGATCAAAATAAATTATGATTTGTATTACATGGACTTGATTTAACAGAAGCAGAATTCACCACCAATTATCTAATTGACACCAAAACCTTTAAAATCAGTCACAAGTTAAATATACTTAATTGATCTACGAAAAAATTACCACTAAAAATGTTAAGGGAGAAAAATTCTAACCAGATGCACTATTTGTGTATTCAAGTCAGACTTCCCTTCATGTTCTCATCTTGAGAACTATCTAAGAAATGTGGGAATTTTTAGATATGAAAATAAAGACTACACATTTAATGCATCTGCATAAATAACCATGAACAATGCAACTCACTAATTACTCTATAGGTTGTTTGAATAAGTTCAGTCACATAACTCATCTTGTAACTAAGTGGCTTTTAACTATAGTACGTTGAACAGGTAAAGAATACGTGACTCAGTAATAGAAAGTTGAGTAAACAAACCATTCGGCCTGAAATACTTCTAAATTGTTGCCTGAAATGGTTTCATACATTTTAACATCTTTCAACTATTTTAAACCGAAATTGGTTTAATACTAGTGGTATTGAATGAAGGGAATTGTGAACAAATAAAGTAGTACGCAAACGTCCAATAGTTGGGAAACAATTATCCAGATAATGTAGAAGCGTACAAAATAGATTTTAGTTGATGAAACTTAATCCAATATAGTTTTCGAGATTTCTGGCGAGGATATTTTGACCAAATCCCTCTGACAAGTTTTAATACAATCATATATTGTGATGACTGACTCCAGTCATCTTTCCTGAAGTAAAGTTAGGATTTGACTTCGTCCACTAAGCCTTATCACAGATATTCTGGAGTATCGATACCAGGAAAATAGCATGAAGTGCGATTAGTTAAAACGATAGTACCACAAAGTTTGCACGAATTTAACACCTGAAGGTTTAGTAAACCTGGAAGAGTATGGTTGTGTCAGGACTACTGTTCGGGCATGAACAGCTTGGTATCCGAAACCAGAGAATAGTGAACGCTGTATATTAACAAGCGCAAACGAGGTGAATGTTATGGTACTTGTCCTGTCGATACATACACCGATGTGCATTCACTTCAAGTAAGCTCACAGTCAATTAACTCACGTAGGTCGAATGAGGAAGGATCAGATTCAGTGAACCGTCAGGAGTAAAAAGTCGAGAAAGCAAGTTTTTCCATGCACATCCTGCAAGTGACAGAAGTCAGAATATTTATAGAAAACCCAATTGCAATGCTAGATCTGTTTCCAGCAAGAAAAGAAACAAAAGCTATGACCTGAACATCCAAACTGTCAACATCATTCACGATCTGAGTATGTGTAGCGAAACTATGATTGCTACTCCAGAAAAAATTAGCGAGTCGATATAAATGAAGATTAAGAAACGACCAAATGTCATGAAAAAATAAAATCCAGTCTCCTTAACCATAGTTGGGAAAACAAAGGCTAGTGATAACGGCAAGTAAGTCATCTTTCAGAGAAAAGAGCAGCGAAAACTTTGAGCCCAGAACTGACTTTCAGCATGACATTAGGTTGATAAAGCGTCTACTAGACTAGATATTGTCTCAAGATAGCTCTGCAGTCACCTTGTTAAAGGTTTATAAACTAAATGGCCATACGAAACTGGAGGGAAATAATACCAGACAACAAGCAGTAGTATATAAATTTCCCAAAGGTACTAAATACTAAGGAATGGGCATAGACTAAAAGGATCAGGAGTTCACATTCATAAAGACTTATCGCTCATGAACCGCAAAAAACGAAAATCTGGAAAAGAACCAAAGTCAAAATTAGACGCTGGCGAGAAGGTCCACAGGATTGTAAATTTTGAGTGATGAAACTTCTATAGAACAGGATGTCGAATACACTTTCGGTGTACAGCGAAACCGCTTAAATGGTATTTGGATCTGTTACAAAAGTGCTTAGAGCTTATTTAACAAGCGAACGGAGCTAAGCCTACAGATGTAGGTAACGATGGCAAAACAGATAGAAAACCTAGCGGCGGTGGGTAACAGCAGACAACTTTTTAGACTTATTAAGGAACTCGACAGTAGGTACTACCTTCTCGTAGTGGTTAGAAAAGGTCGACCCTGAAAATGTCACACTTCACCTCACCTTATGGATTTCCGTCCCGAGTGGTAAGACCACCTGAAGAGAGGAGCTAACACTTTGAAATCTGATAAAAAGGTCGTGCGCGAAAATGGACCTCAGTAGCATCTACGGAACTGATAGATGTTAGGAAACTCATCCGCCTGGTTGCAAACATGACGAAAATTGTGTCTAAAATATTAGCTTTGACTGAATAATACCTCAACGCCTGACTGGAGCTCGTGAAGAGCAGACTCAAGGAAACTGGGTTGATTTCAGACCTGTACAGACCTGATATTCACACTTTGAAAGGTCCTAGAACAGACACATTTCGGTATCTCGCAATAGTAGTATCTCTCGACATTAAAGCTGCATTCGATTCCACAGCAACAATTTTAGTGGGCTTCAAAAGTCTGGAATTGTGCTATTCTCTAACGATTTTGAAATATTTTAAAGTAATAACCTGGTGTCTCAGAGATATTTAGGATTGTGACGATAGAAGCATTTCCTCCTCTTGATCAGTTTTTAGAAAACCTTCCAAAGATAAGCTCTATTCCTTATTTAAAACGACATCCATTAAACTTATTTGCTTGGTTTCGAACTGTTTTGTAATTACAAGTTCAAAAAACTAAAGGCTGCAGGTAACATAAGCAAACCCAACGACAAGTTATGATTGGGCTTCCTGAAACTTATGATAAGTAGTAAACCGTTTGAAACTGTGGGGATTTCGCGTAATTTGCTACAGATGAATATTCCTATTTTTAACTACTTTCCTATATATTATGGAGGATAAAAGACTACAGGCGTGCTATCATGCTTTAGTTTCAAACCTGTGATTGCAAAGGTCAGTTATGACAGATCATGAACAAACCTCGCCTAGCAGTCTACCGAGGATCAGAAAAAAATAGCACGAAATAGTGTAAAACCAACCTGAGTAAGTTGCTTGTAATCAGGACCCTTGTCGGTGCACTTAGAAGCTCCCAACTTTTCAGACAAAAACTGTCGAACGAACTTCGAAAATAATCCACACTTTTTACCTGGTTACACCGCGCTATATGTTTTTTAATGGTGGAAAAGGACATTGCCATGGGGATTTGTCACTCTTATGAAGTAATTCAAATAGTACTTTGTCTTTATGACTTGTAAGAAGGATATATTGAGGTTTTATATCCAGTTAGCCAAAGAAAGGACCTAACATGAAAAGATTTTAGGTCATCCGAATACTCAGAAAATACTTAAAGACGCATATAGAAATAGCGAAATTGAGTTAACTGCCCAGCTTTTTTAAACCCGAGAGCGACCTACAAAACGACCTTCAACATCCAATATCCAATACCGTTATCACGAGGAAGTATAAACCAATTGATTTCTTTGCGCTCGATTCTTGTTCTTTCAGTGCAGTTCGAGGTGTTTGGTAGGGTCTAGCCACCCCACTATATAATTCTAGTCAGTTGTCAGTTGGTTGTAAGTTTATATGTCTCGAGATTTGAATGAACGCGTTTGTTTCAGGGCAGTAGGGTTTCTGGATATCAGCAGCTATCACATTACCAGACTGGAGATCAGTTAGTTGCAATGTGGAGAGTAATAAGGGTAATAAGGATAAAATTAAAATGATAATATGAATAAAATTTCAGAACTGAGTAATATATAGATGAATTTAGTTTGTTAATTGGTAGTGAAGATTGTGAGGGAGGACCGTAGTGTAAGCAAGGGTGAGGGAACAGAGATGAGAGGCGAGATAGATTAAGTAAATGATCTGAGGAGATGGCGATGATAAAAACTAGCGTGTCTGGAGACATGCATCAGGCACAGCTATTCCAGGAGGGAGATGATAATCCGCATGTGAGTACATGTTTATCAAGTCTCTTCTTAAAGCTGTTCACTGAAGGGGCTGTGGTTACCTCGGCTGGCAAAGCACTCCAAGTTGCGACGACTCTTAAGGAGGAAACGTATGCACGAACCTGAGTATTTGCTCTTTGATGTGCGATTTTTCTAGGATTGCCTTGAGGGGAGTGGTGGTGATGCATCGGTAAGATGCTCACATTGGGATGGTTTGGCGTGCTTTATATATTTTACGCCATAGTCGTGTCACCTCTGATTCTCCTTTAACTCAAAGGGCAATAAGCCTAAGTGATAGAGTCTATCTTCGTAAGGTTTATTCTTCAACCCTATCACCCATTTGGTTGCTCGTCTCTGCACTCGATCCAAGAGTTTTATGTCAGAGGGAGTGCGATGACGTTGTGAACTTCCAGGTGTGAGCGCACGTATGTCTTAAATAACGTTAGGAAGTGAAGAGTCGCATTTGTGTTGGCTGCGTCCTGTCTGTATTTCGGGCTCGTGTGGAGGCTTTCTGTGATTATTAAAACGAGATGGCGCTGTGAAAAGACATTAGGTCGTGGACTACCATTGAGGGGGTAGATCGTTTGCGTCGTGTGCGGTAGAATTTACATGACGTGACACTCCAGTTGGTTGAGTTTTAGACCATTTTTCACTGCCCATTTCTCAATAGATGTAAGGTGCTTCTGAAGCTCAGTCGAATTCTCTTCGCCCCTAATGGACCTCCGGATCTTCGCATCGTCTGCGTATATCAAAGCCGGTGAGCTAACTGAGCCTTAAAGGTCGTTGATAAAAGACAGGAAGAGAAATGAACTTGGAATGATATCTTGTGAAACTATCGATGAGGATACTCGCCAGCTAGCATGCACTGTATCTACCTTGATAGTTTCTGAGCCAAGATACGAGTGGGTCAGTGGGTCAATCAATAAGCAGTGGCTTTATGATGAGTTTTAAATTTCTTTTAAAGCTCTGTTTTTGTCTGTTTAGTATAGCTGATAGTCTATCACAGCGGGTTTCAAAATCTGAAACAATAGAACTCTGTTGATATACTTCACCTAACGTTTCTCAAGGAAACGATACTTCACTGCAGATATAAACAACAGCGCCTTATAGTTCAAACCTCGAATTGACGTGTTTCCATGACTGCATATTACGTAATATCAAACATGCCATCCATGATGCTAACAGGAGTAAATAAACTTGCAAGATAAAGCTAGGAAAATTAAAGCACAGCTACTAGCCAATACTATGAATTATATTAGCTTGTGGCGCCTCCACATATATTTCAGTTCGCTTGCATTTAATTTGGTTAAGCCCTTTCGAATAATTTATGTAACCAAGCTGTTTGTATAGCAACAAACCATATGTACCATTGGTATTTTTTATTGTCTGGTTTGTGCGAGCTTGTACGACTGAGCGTTGCTAACGCCTACGCGCTTACTCATCCTTTTCGCTTTAATGTTAATCTCTTAATATCCCTATGAACTCACATGACTTGTCTCGCTTGCTTTTGACTTTTTCAATCATTCGTCGCTTTTATTCATGTCTGTGCATGCCTATTTCGCTTGTCATATGTCTGTCTTATTTTTGTCTGACTATATATTCTTAGTCATGCTCCATTTCTTTGAGTTGGTTCAACAGCCTTCTCCGATTCACGTCTCTTCATTCGTTTTATTCGCTGCTTCAGTTGCTCATTCGCTCGCCAGTGTACACACTACAAGCTTCAGAGAGTAAATCTCTGAAAATACTTTTCGACGTTAGACAGTGAAGCTTCAGATAGCAAAACACAAACTTATCAATAATTTTGTTGTTAAAATCTCTTGTGAAGGTAGATTCTCTTAACGCAGTCGCAATCTTGATAATTAATAAGAATATGGTAAAAAAATCCCTGATACTGTTCCCCTCTTAGTAAAATACAGAAAAAGAAATACCTGCCAATGCAGTTCTATTGTTGACATCTAAGCATCTATCCTCAACTAATTTAACATCCAACAGTATTAAGCAGGCTGTTACTGCGCTGTAAAAACTCCTGATGTTATGCCTGTATCATTCGTTAATTATGGTAGTAGCGAATTTTTACCGTCCTGGTTAAAACTACCCAATTTATGTAGAGAATATGGAGTCTATCCCTCTGTATGAAAACATTTACCATAACTGCCAAATTCAGAAAAGAATTAACTAATGATATGGCTAACTTAGGATCAAAAACGTGACCTCTGTGCGATCAAGGAGAATGAAAAAAGATCAACCAAAAATAGCTATTGTCATGATCATTTTCGGAAAATCTGATTTAATTTTCTCAACACAGGTTTATGATCGAACGCTCCCTCTCCATATCACACCAAATTTTTAATTAAAATCTCCAACGAAGAGATTTTGGTTAGCCAGTGACAATTTTATACTACATTTCAGCGGTAATAGAAGATGATTTTGTAGTAGTTCGAGTCGAGGTTGACTATGAACATGTCTACAAACCGATGACCTTCTGATCATTACTCGGCATCCCGTCGTGAAAAAATAACAGGGAAGAATAGATAGACCAGACAATGAGTATATCAGCTGGCGAATTCTCGGTGCAGAAAGAAGACCGAAATTGTGTCAGAGATGATGGGCGAAGTGGTACAGAGCAGTATAAACAACATCTCAACCCCGCAAGGGGTTAAACCAATCGGGTTTTCTTCATGAAAGTTGGATCACTACTATATAAACAAATCATTCATTAGGACTGTCATTGAATCTATCACCGAATGATGATAAAAATGGATTCCGAAGCATAGTTTGGTTCTTTACAAACACTCACTGAAACGCTTCAACATAACTCAAGTTTTATGGGTAAGGCATAGTGTGGTGCTGTGGTGCGAACTACTTATAAGTAGTATATAGCGTGAGTGTCAACGTAAAGTCTGGTAGCATAATATGGGGGGAAGATCAAGAAAGGAAGAGTCAGAAAACAATGGAATTTGTATGAAACGCATGAAGAGTGACAATGGATTGATGTTTGGCAACAGGAACAGTCCAGTTCCATAGGATGAACTGATCTTTTGCAAATGAACGATTTACGATATGGTTTTCCGATTTTACTGACTAACTCTGTAATTTTCGTTAAATACAATTCGGTCGCCCCCACCTGTGTTCTCATTCACTACATTTGGTGTCGCTGCATGCTCGAAGGAAGGGGCTCCCGTGGCCGAAGGAGTTGCAGGACGGAGATTGGCGGAGCTTCCTGGAGGAGTTTGGGGCCACGGTGGAGCTGGTGGGGGCCTGGGGCGGAGTTGACGGTGCTGGGGACGCTGCGGGAAGGTGAGGCGAAGGCGGTACACGACAGCCTGGACGGTGCCACCGAGGAGACGGCGTGGGAGACGGTCACCGGGCGGCTGATAATGGAGTTCGACAGCCCAGTGGACAGGGAGGAGGCGCCGCAGAGGTTCCGGTTGGCGCGGCAGTCGGCCGATGGTGACCTGTTGGTGCTTGCTGTGGAGCTCACCGGATTGCGCCGTGAGGAGTGGGCGGGGCACAGTCTTTGGCGTCGCAATTGGTCGAGTGTGTGCCTTCCGCCGTGTTCCAGCATCGGGAACTTGTAAACGCTACACGTTGGGTAGATGCCGTATCCATTCCAGACCAGTGATCAAGAACGATGACCGAAGTGGTAATCCGGCATATTGTAGCGTGTCACGGAATACGGAAGGTGATATTAACTGACCAGGGGCTCTGTTTTGCAGGACTACGACGACAGCTTATTAAAAGGGGGGACGAGTGTGGTGCTGTGGTGCGAACTACTTATAAGTAGTATATAGCGTGAGTGTCAACGTAAAGTCTGGTAGCATAATATGGGGGGAAGATCAAGAAAGGAAGAGTCAGAAAACAATGGAATTTGTATGAAACGCATGAAGAGTGACAATGGATTGATGTTTGGCAACAGGAACAGCCCAGTTCCATAGGATGAACTGATCTTTTGCAAATGAACGATTTACGATATGGTTTTCCGATTTTACTGAGTAACTCTGTAATTTTCGTTAAATACAATTCGGTTGCCCCCACCTGTGTTCTCATTCACTACAATAGTACCACTTGGACTCTTCCGAACACATTACATGTCAAGTATCCAGAGTAAAAAAGTTTATTGGATTTATAATCATAAATTTCAGCAACATTAAATCCAAATGATCATATTATAAAAACTGTATCATGCTCATTCTTGAGTATGGTAGTCCAGCTTAAACTAAATTCAGGCATAACGATTTGATGAAAATGAACTTTCTTTCATGTAAACATTCCAAGTCCACTTAACTGTATATTTATTACTATGATGATGAGTGATTGTTTTATATAACTAAGATATTTCACAGTTACTTTCCACAATTACTAATTAAAAATACGATCTTCTATTAAACTTAGTGTGGCAAATTGAACTTTCATATTTACTTTATCTTCAGCACATGCAGTTGACCTCAACAACCTACTATTTGATGATATTTCTTTTCCTT